CCTTACGTTGTATATTTGACCATTCTCAGTTCTTGACGTTAAAGTTGTTTCTGTTATTTTACTAACAGTAATAATGCTGTGATAAACGTTGTTATATGTATTGCTTTTCAAACCTTGTATTATTTCTTTAGCATTTACTTGAAAAAATTGAGTGCTTTTGCTAAATATTGTAAATTCTTCAAGTTGCATTTTTGGGAAGAGAGTGAATATTTCATCAACTAATCTACCACAGTGACCAAATATCTTAATCTGGATCTCAGAATGTAGTGAATTTTAGAAGTACTGAAAACATGGTTTCTATAATGTATTATGGTGATAAATTATACTTTAAAAGTCTCAAATTATTTAAAGCACAAATCCTGATAACTAATGAAAATCTGTACAAGATGGAAAGTGGGTAGTTTCTTGTATATTGCTTCTCAAAACTAAATATTTTAACCTATTTAAATTTCAAAGCTGAAAATAAATGTGCTAAATTATTATATTCATTTCCCGTATTCTCTTTAAAGGGATTAAGGTATAAATGTTAAAAGATTTAGCTATTTACATGTCAAAATGTGGAGCAAGTGACTGTTAAATTCCACTCCTCTCTGAGGTTCATTCTGAAGATGAGACCCCATCCTTTGGGGATGCATCTTCCTTGTTCATGGCTTTTCCTAATTGTGAAGGAATGACTGGGAATCAAGGATCTTTAAAATAAAAAAAATGTATATTTTAGCACTGAAATAATAACAAGTGTACTTTCTCTGCTTGTGATGATTATTGACTATATTATCCTTTTGATAATATTGGTGTTGTATTCTTGGTTATAAAATGTTAATATCATATTTATTAGGTATGCTTATGTTCTGTATTTTCGTATTTAATCTCATCTGATTTTAAATTGTATATTATAAATAATGTTAATAATATTTCATTAGCATTAATTATAAAAAATAACTTAATGATTTTTACTGTGTATTGACTGAAGTCACAATAGTTTTGAGATAGCTGGAAAAAATAAATGTATTTTAATGTGCTGCTATTTATACTTGAATTATTTTATGCTTGTAATTGTCTTTAGGAATAAATTGTACCA